TTGGACCTATCGCAAACAATTTGGGTCTACAGAAATCTGTTCCAAAGTATTTACCCCACAGACTGCGACATTAAAAACTGGCTACATTTTACCAGTTTGACGCATGCCAATTACCCGTAGGCGTTTATCTCCTTGTAGACAAAGCAGGCCTAATCTGATCCTCTGATCAAAGGTACTGCATTAATGCACGATTTAGACTGTCTGTCTTACTGTGAGTAATTGAAATAAGAATGTATCCCCAACAGGGTTTTACATCTGCCTCTACACGAGTTCCTGACATCCCGAGGTCGGTCGACACATAAAACGCTCAAAGGAAACGTGTCTGTGAACATGTTCTTTTTGACACCACATTGTGGCTTCGTTAACATATACATACACATGTAAAACAGTATCGCAACACCTGTGATTTGTAACCCCTATATAATTATTTATAACCCACTTAGTGGTGGATTTAGCGCTATATAAATTTCCATTATTATTATTATTATTATTATGTTTTACAGATTAAAGATAATATGCAGCAGAGAGGGTTCGGGTGATCCTGGCACAGTCAGGCGGGTAAGGCTCATCATCAGCTCAGGGCCCTTGCCCCCTCTACACGCAGCCCAGACAGCGAATGGGACTTCTCTCAGGAAACGCTGCCTAGTCGAACCCACCAAGAACTTTCCGGAGAATATGAAGGCTCCCCAACACTGCAGCCTTCTGCATTACCCAGAGTGTCAGAAGGGCTGTTCTCCCGGTGGAGAACCCGGGCACTCTCCTGATCTGCGCCAAGAGATCAGGAGGTACCAAACCAAGGGCACCGAGAACAATGGGGAGCCTGGCGACAGTGTACTTGGGATGCAAGCGAGGCATTTCAAAGGCGAGGTCCGCATATTTATCATGCTTTTCCTAAATCTTGCCATTATTATGTTTTACAGATTAAAGATAATATGCAGCAGAGAGGGTTCGGGTGATCCTGGCACAGTCAGGCTGGTAAGGCTCATCATCAGCTCAGTGCCCTTGCCCCCTCTACACGCAGCCCAGACAGCGAATGGGACTTCTCCCAGGAAACGCTGCCTAGTCGAACCCACCAAGAACTTTCCGGAGAATATGAAGGCTCCCCAACACTGCAGCCTTCTGCATTACCCAGAGTGTCAGACGGGCTGTGCTCCCGGTGGAGAACCCGGCACTCTCCTGATCTGATCTGCATTATTATTATGTTTTACAGATTATTGTATATTATCGGGTGATCCTGGCATTATTATTATTATTATTATTATGTTTTACAGATTAAAGATGAAAATGCAGCAGAGAGGGTTCGGGTGATCCTGGCACAGTCAGGCTGGTAAGGCTCATCATCAGCTCAGGGCCCTCGCCCCCTCTACACGCAACCCAGACAGACTTCTCCCAGGAAACACTGCCTAGTCGAACACACCAAGAACTTTCCGGAGAATAAGAAGCCTCCCCAACACTGCAGGCTTCTGCATTACCCAGAGTGTCAGAAGGGCTGTACTCCCGGTGGAGAACCCGGGCACTCTCCTGATCTGCGCCAAGAGATCAGGAGGTACCAAACCAAGGGCACCGAGATCAATGGGGAGCCTGACGACAGTGTACTTAGGATGCAAGCGAGACATTTCAAAGGCGAGGTCCGCATATTTATTATTATTATTATTATTATTATTATTATTATTATTATGTTTTACAGATTAAAGATAATATGCAGCAGAGAGGGTTCGGGTGATCCTGGCACAGTCAGGCGGGTAAGGCTCATCATCAGCTCAGGGCCCTTGCCCCCTCTACACGCAGCCCAGACAGCGAATGGGACTTCTCTCAGGAAACGCTGCCTAGTCGAACCCACCAAGAACTTTCCGGAGAATATGAAGGCTCCCCAACACTGCAGCCTTCTGCATTACCCAGAGTGTCAGAAGGGCTGTTCTCCCGGTGGAGAACCCGGGCACTCTCCTGATCTGCGCCAAGAGATCAGGAGGTACCAAACCAAGGGCACCGAGAACAATGGGGAGCCTGGCGACAGTGTACTTGGGATGCAAGCGAGGCATTTCAAAGGCGAGGTCCGCATATTTATCATGCTTTTCCTAAATCTTGCCATTATTATGTTTTACAGATTAAAGATAATATGCAGCAGAGAGGGTTCGGGTGATCCTGGCACAGTCAGGCTGGTAAGGCTCATCATCAGCTCAGTGCCCTTGCCCCCTCTACACGCAGCCCAGACAGCGAATGGGACTTCTCCCAGGAAACGCTGCCTAGTCGAACCCACCAAGAACTTTCCGGAGAATATGAAGGCTCCCCAACACTGCAGCCTTCTGCATTACCCAGAGTGTCAGAAGGGCTGTTCTCCCGGTGGAGAACCCGGGCACTCTCCTGATCTGCATTATTATTATTATTATTATGTTTTACAGATTAAAAATTGTATGCAGCAGAGAGGGTTCGGGTGATCCTGGCATTATTATTATTATTATTATTATTATTATGTTTTACAGATTAAAGATGAAAATGCTGCAGAGAGGGTTCGGGTGATCCTGGCACAGTCAGGCTGGTAAGGCTCATCATCAGCTCAGGGCCCTCGCCCCCTCTACACGCAACCCAGTCAGACTTCTCCCAGGAAACACTACCTAGTCAAACACACCAAGAACTTTCCGGAGAATAAGAAGCCTCCCCAACACTGCAGGCTTCTGCATTACCCAGAGTGTCAGAAGGGCTGTGCTCCCGGTGGAGAACCCGGGTACTCTCCTGATCTGCGCCAAGAGAACAATGGGGAGCCTGACGACAGTGTACTTGGGATGCAAGCAAGACATTTCAAAGGCGAGGTCCGCATATTTATCATGCTTTTCCTGAATCTTGTCAATCACATTGCTGTCAAAAGGGACAGAAAATTCAATGATATAAATAAATTCATTGGCTTTATCAAAAAGGACAAGATCAGGTTTGTCGGCAGGAATTCTTCTGAGGCTGTATATGGGCCTGTTCCACAGAAGTTTGAAAGCATCATTTTCCATGACGCTCTGGACATGTTCAGGGTCGTACCATGGATGGACCTCGGAGTCAAAGCCACAGGCATGGCGAAGGCGGTAGTAAAAGCAACGAGCCATGCCATCATGTCTCTTAAGATATGCCATTTGTGCCAAGGAAGGGCATCCACTAACAAGGTGTTGGACAGCCTCTGTAAATTCATTACACAGTCGACATTTCATATTGATATTTTCTTTAAGAATCACATTTTCGCGATTACGAGTGGGAAGTGACACTGGTCCTGAGCAACAAAAAGGAAGCCCTCAGTTAATTATTACTATTATTATTTATATTAATATCATAATTGGGACAGTTTGTGTGACTATTCGTTGGGTTCGCCAACACAAGAGCAGCCTTTATTGATGTATTTCTGTTTACTTGAGTCAACAAGATGGCGACAAAGTGAGTACTTTGTATGGCCATCATTGGCAGCAATTACTGCTCGGCACCGTCTCGACACAGACTAGATAAGTCGACGAAGTCGCCCTCGCGGAATTCTTCCCCACTCTTCCTGTAATGCGATGGCCAGTTGTGGAAGTGTCTGAGGCGTGTTCTGACGTTGACGTACACGCCGATCGAGTTCATCCCATAGATGTTCTATCGGGTTTTGATCTGGTGATCGGGAAGGTCATGGCAAGACATTGACGTTTGAATTGGCATGGTAGCGGACCGTGACGCATGCTGTATGGAAGTATCGTTGTCATTCTGGAACAACTCCTTCTGTCGGTCCATAATCGAAAGCATGTGACGCACAAGGACTTCGTTGATGTACCGATTTGCTGTCAAATTCTCCTGAACCACCACTAAATCAGATATTTGTGTGCTGGATATCTCACCCCACACCATGCCACTTCCTCCACTAAATCTGTCGACCTGTAGAATACAATTTGGGGCAGAACGTTCATTTCTCCAACGATAAATACGCTGTCTTCCATCTCGCCGGTGAAGAAGAAATCGTGATTCATCACTGAACCAGACTCGCCTTAAGTTTCAGAGGTGCCAGCTCCAGACTCGACGACACCGCCGCAAGCGATTGCGCCGATGGAAGTCTATCAAAACAAGGGCGACAACTAGCGTTCTTGGTCGAATCCCAACTTCAAACAATCGATTCCTAACAGTTTGGTCGGAAAGTCTTCTCAAACCAAAACTGGTCTGCAGGAAACGTCCCCAAAGGCGAGATATGGTGCTCTGATGAACGTTGAAATGTCGGGCAACTGAAAACTGCGACTCCCCAGCCTATGGCGATGTTTCTATTGGCGACACTCTGTCGTGGCATGATGATTTCCTCTTTTCCAAGCAAGTACAAACGACAATATTAAACAACAGCGGATATATGCCTTTTTATCGTAATCGATACTGCATGCTTTTCCGCTTACTTGCTCGTGCATTTTGCTTTGCATGTTTTCTTGGGGACGCTTTGGCGAATATTTCTTCAAACGCTTCTAAATAAGAGAACAAGTTTACAATCACACCAAGATGACGTTTGAGAAAGAAAAAGTATATTTGTAATGCTTTTGTCGCATCTACATGAGTCCAGTATTCTCAAAATCACCTATGCGTTTCTTTTTTGAAGAGTGTCTACGTGTATTTTCGATACTCATGCTGTTGATCACTTGGAGTAACTGGTGCAGACTCGATTATTTACAGACCGCCGCCCTACAGCTAGAATATCGCTGAGTGCGGCGTTGAACATCGGACAAACAAACAGACAGTACCATAGGTTGTATTTTGGATCTTGCTGTGGATGTTATTAGTCTGATTGAAGAAATACGATTTTGCAACAGTGTAATTTCTGTTGCAGACATTTCCATTTTCTCAAACAAGCTCAAGCATTTTTTTTTCATCATAGAACTTAAATTTGAATTTCTTATTAAAAAAAACCAACCTCGCTCATTTTTAACCCACCAAAGCCCAGTCCTGCTCCCAATGCTCACATACACACTTACCGAATGTCAAATGGTCAGACCAAAGTCACAAATTATTTGGATGGATCTTACTGAATTATATTTATTTGCTTCAAGTCAAACTCGTCAATGTTCCAAGCAAACCAAGTCCTATTAATTTTACACTGTGTATATTTGTATACAACTCTCAAAAGCGCTATATAAACCTCTGAAACATATCTATGACATCTACGCAAGTATGGTTAATGTTGTTAGGCCGACGGGCGACCAAACAGTAGGTTGCAACTGCAAGCCACGGAGACCCTTTCCCAGTAGAGGCGATATGTCCACACACCCTGGATACACCCGGCCCGTCTCAGTACCTGGATATTCGTGTACAATTTGCGACATCCAAGATGAGCTACGACCTCTTCGCGAGCACGCGGACGACGTCGGAGAAAGCACCTGTCGCACGTGCACTCTGCCTGAACAAGTTCTCGAGGAATCCTATCCGGGTCATATTCCAGAATATAATATGATGGGCACAGATTGCCGCCATTTTTGCGAATCACCTTCCGGGCGTCGGAGCACTTCCGGTAACCTCCGTAGAAGTACACAGACTTTTTGCTGAAAGGGTAGATATAACCGTTCTTTCTTCTAACGATGGTTTTCAGTCGTGGGAGGTTCACGAAGGTAGGATCCAGAAACCCAGCGTAGAGGTTCGGTATATCCCGGCGGAGCTTGTCGATGTCTGGTTCAGTGCAGTTCCCCGTGGCGGAATGGCTGCCAAGGACGCCGCACGTTACGAAACAGGAGCTGATGATGAGGACATCTATTACGATGTTCATACCTGCAGACAAGCAAACATCCGCATGATATGACTTGTTCTAAGAATACGAATGGTGATCTGTAAAACTTCAAGAAACCTTCGGTAGCCGTACAGGTATAACTGCCCTAAGTCGCGAACTAAACCTGTCTGTCGCAGAATTTGGTGACAATATAGGAAACGTATTGTCCTAAAAGAATTGCTTGTGTCTCCTGGAATGTCTGTGTGTTTGTTGTTTAACACCGCACTCAGCAATATTCCAGCTACATGGCGGCGATATGTAAATAATTGAGTACTGATCAGACAATTCAGTGATCAGCAGCATGAACATCGATGAGATACGATATGTGTCAACCAACTCAGCGAGCCTGACCACCCGATCCCGTTATAGTCGCCTCTTACGACAAGATTTGGTTGCTGAAGATTAATCCAAGCCCTGTCCATGGCTCCTCTACTGTAATGTAACAGACTATTCAAAGCCTGGTGATTGGAATGGCGTTCCCGAACGACCCTCACCTAACTTAGTGTCATGGTTTCCTTCTAAACTCTGCTTGGTGACGTCCTGCGCTGTGATGTTGACCTACGTATTGTGGCGCTGACGCACGATTCTAGCCCTAAGGAATTTCGCTGAAAATCCTGTTCACTTAATTTATGGTCAGTTAAAACCAGTTCGTTTGAGTTTGTTTACAGCACTTTCATATTTTACCTAAATTAGATGGGTACTCCTTCCAGTTGAGGTTGGGCGGTGGAACTGTTCCCCTACCACAGAAGAGAAATACAACTTATTTCAACTCAACATAATGAATATCATGCTGTCTCACATTGTACTCATTTATAAAACACAGGCAACTTTAAATATCAAGTCAGTATCGCAACAAGTCAAACATCAGTAAATGTAGTAATCTGTTTAATAGTACAGCAAAACGGCCGTTATTCCACCATCCCTCCTCAACCTTCAGACATCGCATAGGTATGTGGTCGTTTCCACAATGGTATCTGTCCTCCGTGTGATGAATATAATACCTAATGTAACTACTGTTATACATATATAGAACGCCTTGGGTGTCAGGTCCACAATCAGTAACGTTGAACATGCAGATGTCTCTTCCGGTAGACTTTTTGCAGAGACAATGAGTGAAAGTGCTTCAATTTTGATAAATCTGTTTATGATTATGTCTTGTTTAAGCTGAAGAACATTCTCTAGTACGCAGTTTAGCTGTGTGTTATAAAAACAATACATTCGCATGGCATGCTAAGAGAGTCCATTTTGAGGGTGACAACTGAATAATTTGGAATTCTTCCAGACAAATTATTCTTGTGATATGTTCACCCCGAAGGATGTGCAAAATATTAAGTCTTACGTTAAGAAAACGTAATCGATTTTTAACCAATGAAATTATGCTTTCATATGATGTAGGGCGAAGCTGTTAATATATTCGCTCTGGCTTTGTTAACGTCAGAACTATAAGTATACCTGACTATAACTTGATGGCTCGGTCCATCGACCTGTCGACGCTGACTATGAGCTGACTGGCGTTTACAGTGTTCACGGGAGATATATATATCTAACGGTTATCTCCCGATTGACAGACACTTGATTGTGTGTCAATGATAATCTGTCTTCTCTTCTCCAAATTGTTTTTACTATCAATTACTATCGAATATAAAAACAAGTTTGTCACTGAGAGGTTTGATTGTGTTTATTAATTGAAACATTTTATTCATTCAAGAAAAGGATTGGGAACAAGTTATCCAACTTTAAAAAGCCTTCTCCCAATAATAGGATGTGTACAACAGAACTGTACAACTGTAAAAACGTTTGTTGGAGAGATATAGATGTGTACATATTTGAAAACATTCTGTACATGCCAGGTAAGATTAGATTAATACCAGTCAGTATTGTAATTTTAACACATACTTTCTATAGATTGTAAAAGGTTATGTCTTTGAATAGTATACAATGGACATTCAAGGAAGTAATGAAAAACATTCTCACATCCATGGCCCCATTGACATGATGCATCATTATTTTTTTTTTATTTATTCTAAATAAATCATAATTACACACTTGTACTCGTCATATATCTTAATCTTGTGTACCCGTGAAGGTCCGGGTTAGAATATTGATCTTCAGTAACCCATGCTTGTCGTAGGAGGCGACTAACGGGATCGGGTGGTCAGGTTCGCTGACTTGGCTGACACATGTCATCGGTTCCCAATTGCGCAGATCAATGCTCATGCTGTTGATCACTGGATTGTCTGTCCCAGACTGGATTATTTACAGACTGCTAAAATTATTGGGGTTTCTTAAGGTTAGGCCCAAATGTTTATGAAAATCAACTCTTTTTATATTGCAGCAATCAACATTCCAATTAATGTCTTTTCGACCACCTTTCAAAGTAAATAATACAGATCGAACTTTATTCTTGTGTCTTTATTTGGACTATTCCATGATAATGTGTAGGTAACAGGTAGTAGCTAATCTGTTCATTGAACTGTAAATGTTGTTGTTTTAAGGCGTCTGCGAACTGCCTGTCTGCGTAATGGGAGGACACCCTGCAGACGCTTTTTCTCGAGTTCAAAACTTTAGAGCAAAGTCTTCAATTTTGAAACATTTTCAACTGATCTCTTGTACAATCACATTCTAGTCATGACAGTGGCCAGTAGCATTGTTTCAAAAGAAAGCCATGTTATACACTTTTACAATATATTGCAATACATATTGCAATACGCCAACACATATCACAATATATCGCAATACGAACATTTTGGCATTAAATACCCAACCCTACTAAATACCAATGCTGGCCTGTTACCTTTTCAGTAGCTTTTACTACTTTTGACTGCAAAACTGCACTTATTTTATTGTACGAATTTGGGGAATTGTATATTTTGATCTTACAGAAAAGGTCCATACACTATATTATAAAGGTTCCTCGTGTTGGAGAGTAAGCTTTTGGGCTGAGTGAGACAGGTGAAATATCATTTGTGTCTTGCCAAATTTAAGTACTTAAATAATATTTCAAGTGTTCACAAATCGAATCATACCGATATCCCCATTAAACAACTTGATGACAATGGTGCACAAAACAGAGCCTCAAATGTACGACATGTGCCATTTCCCTACGGATTTGCTCAGGTTTGGCTTGAAGAAATACCGTAGGATGAAAAACAGTTTACGTTTGCCCCAAAGAGTAAAAGAGTTTTTATTTATCTGTATTCAAATCTGGCACCAATAAATCTGTACATCATAGTTTTTAACACACTATTCATGTTCAAAGCAGCAATGTTAATATTTTGTGTAGAAATGATTGGTTCAGTGAAGACTGGGTTAAGAAATGAATTTGTAAGCATATGAGCCAAACATTGTTTGAAATTATTTCAGCAAATGTGTTGACTTCAATGGAGATATCTTAAGATACCGTATTTCTTCTAATAAGCGCCCCCGGCGCTTATTTTTTCAACGGCCCTGCAGACCCGGCGCTTATTAGAGGCCCGGCGCTTATTTCTTAAAGAACTGCTTTATCCCCGGCGGTTATTAGAGGCCCGGCGCTTATACAGGAAATACGGTACCTGAGATGCTCGATATACTAGTATTTATGTGTATGTGTGTGCGTGCGTGCGTGCGTGCGTGCGTGCGTGCGTGCGTGTGGGGGTAAAGCTTATACGCGGTTAAGGTGTTCCCTGTTGTGATAAAGCTTTAGAGTAGACCATTTGAAACTCTTAACAATGACACTCTAAATGTTGTTACACTACTTTCATTTCAGTTCTACACACCGTGAGTAGTTCACAGCCCCCGCGCGTTCAATCACAGTTAGACTAACGCTTAGTCTTTAATATATAGAATTTTGATACATCCATTTAAATTGAAAAGGAGCCCCAGTGAGTTTGGAGAACCTGGGGAAATCTAGACTTGCTTCATGTAGGTCATTGCAGGGAGGGCTAGGCAGTAGGGACAATTATGTGGTTCAGGGACTGTGAGACAGACTAAATGACATGCCGTGTGAAATGGCTCTACCTCTTCTTTCCGCTCTTTCTCAACGCCATTTAAACCTTTCTCAACTTTACCCTTTTCCACTCCAAAACACTCCGTCCGATATGAAACCGTTTTCGTTTCAGTTCAAGTTGCGATTTGTTTGCGTGTTTTTAAACAACCCAAATGTGTGTGTAGGCACTCGTGACTAAAGTATCTGCGTTGTCATAATACCAAAGGTTTTTTTTATTTAAGGACGAATTATTAGCCAGGACCGCCTATTGTACACGATAATAATGGTATAATGGTGACTGCTGATATCACTGTGATCTTCTGTCCTACATTCTGTACTTATTTGCAGCATATTCTTGCTCGGCTTTGTGCCACAAGCTATTGGTTACAGAAACGCGCGTACGAATAAAGAGAACAGGTGTTTGCAAACATCACTCATGTTAAAACCACAGGAACCTTAAGATTCTTTTTTAATGAAAACTAAACATGACTTAAGCCATATCCTTTGTCAACACGGCTATTGGGAATGTAGTAGGAGCTCAGATATAGGAGAGTACTAGATGACCTATATAGTCAAATTGCAGATTTGTTTGGAGAAAACACCAAATATACCTTACGAAACAGTGGATAATGCCAAGACATAGCTAACGTCTCTGGTTGGTTATGTCCAGTTAAATCGACCACACCGTAGTTGTTGAATATGTTACAGTTCTACAACATGGCAACATTACAAGTGACAGTCTTTGTGCTGACACAGGTCGCAGCGCTACGCATTATCGTAAAACTGTGGTTAATTGTGGGATTTGCGATCATCTTAGCTCTACAACAACTTAGGGCCCGGGACCGTTGATGTACCCCGGTCAGTTTAACACTGTAGACCACTGTTGTCGAGTATGTTAACCTTTGATGTTCGAATGTTATGCCATGTTCAGCCAGCACAAGTACATCCTATAGGTTAACGGTGGGTTGTAAAAGTTTATCACATGTGTTAGTTACAGCTCGAATGTGATGCCATGTTCAGCCAGCACAAGTACATCCTATAGGTTAACGGTGGGTTGTAACAAGTTTATGATCTGTGTTAGTTATAGCTCGAATGTGATGCCATGTTCAGCCAGCACAAGTACATCCAATAGGTTAACGGTGGGTTGTAACAAGTTTATCATCTATGTTAGTTACAGCTCGAATGTGATGCCATGTTCAGCCAGCACAAGTACATCCTATAGGTTAACGGTGGGTTGTAACAAGTTTATCACATGTGTTAGTTACAGCTCGAATGTGATGCCATGTTCAGCCAACACAAGTACATTATAGGTTAAGCCAGCACAAGTAAGTAATAGTTTTCACATCCTATAGGTTAACGATCCCATAGTTAAAATAAGTTTATCACCTGTGTTAGTTACAGCTCGAATGTGATGCCATGTTCAGCCAGCACAAGTACATCCTATAGGTTAACGGTGGGTTGTAACAAGTTTATCACCTGTGTTAGTTACAGCTCGAATGTGATGCCATGTTCAGCCAGCACAAGTACATCCTATAGGTTAACGGTGGGTTGTAAACAAGTTTATCACCTGTGTTAGTTACAGCTCGAATGTGATGCCATGTTCAGCCAGCACAAGTACATCCTATAGGTTAACGGTGGGTTGTAACAAGTTTATCACCTGTGTTAGTTACAGCTCGAATGTGATGCCATGTTCAGCCAGCACAAGTACATCCTATAGGTTAACGGTGGGTTGTAACAAGTTTATCACCTGTGTTAGTTACAGCTCGAATGTGATGCCATGTTCAGCCAGCACAAGTACATCCTATAGGTTAACGGTGGGTTGTAACAAGTTTATCACCTGTGTTAGTTACAGCTCGAATGTGATGCCATGTTCAGCCAGCACAAGTACATCCTATAGGTTAACGGTGGGTTGTAAAAGTTTTATCACATGTGTTAGTTACAGCTCGAATGTGATGCCATGTTCAGCCAGCACAAGTACATCCTATAGGTTAACGGTGGGTTGTAACAAGTTTATCACCTGTGTTAGTTACAGCTCGAATGTGATGCCATGTTCAGCCAGCACAAGTACATCCTATAGGTTAACGGTGGGTTGTAACAAGTTTATCACCTATGTTAGTTACAGCTCGAATGTGATGCCATGTTCAGCCAGCACAAGTACATCCTATAGGTTAACGATGGGTTGTAACAAGTTTATCACCTGTGTTAGTTACAGCTCGAATGTGATGCCATGTTCAGCCAGCACAAGTACATCCTATAGGTTAACGGTGGGTTGTAACAAGTTTATCACCCATGTTAGTTACAGCTCGAATGTGATGCCATGTTCAGCCAGCACAAGTACATCCTATAGGTTAACGATGGGTTGTAACAAGTTTATCACCTGTGTTAGTTACAGCTCGAATGTGATGCCATGTTCAGCCAGCACAAGTACATCCTATAGGTTAACGGTGGTTGTAACAAGTTTATCACCTGTGTTAGTTACAGCTCGAATGTGATGCCATGTTCAGCCAGCGTCACAGTACATCCATAGGTTAACGGTGGGTTGTAATTTTATCACCTGTGTTAGTTACAGCTCGAATGTGATGCCATGTTCAGAGCACAAGTACATCCTATAGGTTAACGGTGGGTTGTAAATGTTTATCACCCGTGTTAGTTAGCAGCTCGAATGTGATGCCATGTTCAGCCAGCACAACTACATCCTATAGGTTAACGGTGGTTGTAACAAGTTTATCACCTATGTTAGTTACAGCCCGAATGTGATGCCATGTTCAGCCAGGACAAGTACATCCTATAGGTTAACGGTGGGTTGTAACAAAGTTTATCACCTGTGTAAAGTTACAGCTCGAATGTGATGCCATGTTCAGCCAGCACAAGTACATCCTATAGGCTAACGGTGGGTTGTAAAAGTTTATCACCTATGTTAGTTACAGCTCGAATGTGATGCCAAATTCAGCCAGCACAAGTACATCCTATAGGTTAACGGTGGGTTGTAACAAGTTTATCACCCGTGTTAGTTACAGCTCGAATGTGATGCCATGTTCAGCCAGCACAAGTACATCCTATAGGTTAACGGTAATTGTAACAAGTTTATCACCTGTGTTAGTTACAGCTCCGTTACATGTGTGTGTCATTAAGACTGAACTTTATGACAAAAGTGCACCAGAGACAGGTCAGCACATGGACCACCAGGCGTTCACAAGCAAATCAACACGTGGCATCTATTTGAGACGTCAACAAAACATCTGATAGTTATCGAAATGGCAGGATCATCTCATACATATTTACCATTTTCTCTGTCTGGAACCACCTTTGCATGAAATCAGACAATTATACTGGAATCTCCGGTTTGAACTAGACAATGTTTCTTCGAGACGGTAAAAGAAAATGAAGTATTTTTCTTATCCTACCTCCATGTCGCGTCAAAATGCTGGAGATCTGAGCGGTATGCGCACGCGATTGATGATGGATACTACCTTGTATCCGGTGAGGGTTGGTGCATGGAATGCACCCTGAGCCGGAGAGTATAATCAATTATACTCCACTACCAAGCCTAAAACTGCATCGTTGTTTAAGTGTGATTAAAATCACGTGACACATCACAAACTAATCTCGGCTGTTTCCTATCACTTTCAATTTGTATTAATGCTTATACAACGGCAGTTGGAAACATGTCGGTAAGATAATTTAATCGAAGGTATATGTGGTTTTGTGTGCACCTCGTAGGATTTACACCAAGATCTTAAACCCAAACGCTTGGCTCCTAAAACCATTTATACCCGCGCAATACTGCTACGGCTGTTTTAAGACTGCGGCATAGTGTTATCAGCAAACCATTTGTCGCCTTATTTGATAGCCCGACCATGTTTGACCAAGGAGTTATCAGTAAGCTTCTTCTAGTAACTAACAGAAGAAAACACTGCTTCTTTCATGTACGAGGCAAACGAAGTTAAAATATGCTAATTTTCAAAGACGTACCTGGTTTGTTCCCACCGAAAATATAGAGCAGCTGGTCTAAACTTCCTGGTCTAAAATTAGCAAAGGCCCATTCAGCCAGTGAAGATCATGGCTTCACAAAGTACACTGAATTGACAATACACGTCTATATCTTTACAACACTAAGAAGGTTGCAGCATATTTTATTGTCGATCATATCTTAAGTCACCACTTTCGGCTGTGATACAGCTTGACATATGCTGCAGGCTGTAATACACACCGTTCTCTTGCTCATTCTAATGACTTCTTCTATCAGTAACCGAACGTTATTTTTGTCATACAGCAATAACATAAAGCAATGGGAAATCCACAAACGGCTATATACGTATATCCGGTTACCATAGGTCGTGGTTATACATGCATGCCGTGTATTGCCATCCCGTTCGTCACACAGCTTCCCATTACAATGACGATGAGAGGGCGTCCTATTTTCAGGTATTTTAGAAAAGATGCATGTTGTTGAAATCTGTCACTGTGTACACGTTGTGGTGTAAAGATTACTCAGCGTATATATTGCAGGCATTTGTGAAGTTTTAAGTGATTATTTTTTTTCAAAAACACAAATCTAACAGTTATAAACAGTGTGCGATATAGTTTCCATCTTTTGAAAGCCAGTCGAAAGTTACTAGCCCACAAAATAATTTGCATTTGCCCGAAATTTGACTGACTGAGTATGGTTTTACTGTTTTTAGCAATATTCCAGCAATATCACGTCGGGGACACCAGAAATGGGCCCGAAATTTGAATGTAGACTATCGGGTTTCATCATTAAACTGCTAATATGATGAACATTTTTATCAGGCCATAATCTTGCATGTTTTAAAGTGTGTTATAACTGAACAAGTCGGAGAGAGTGATACAGAATTGTTTACTGATTATCATCAACGTTTGAGGCAGAGACTGAAAGGTGGATGAGAATGTTAACCCTGAGATCAGGGTTGGAGATGCTGCACACATGCAGAAGCACACCTTTGATACCAAGAACATGCACTATATATTCAAGGAAGACAGACTGGAGGAAATTCAAATACAGCTAAAAGTGTATAATAGAGTCAAAATCATTTTTGATATTCCATTGGAACTGTAAATGTGTTCATTTCATGGTTGATCATAAATAAACCAATCTTTCTGACTGACTTATCTTGTCAAGTTGCAATGAGTAAACTGCGTGAGTGAGTAATACTGAACAAACCTGAAGATAACATGTATATGATGTACATTTCGCGTGCAATTTCTGAATTTAGTAATACAACTATTGTATATTAATACTTAAACTGAACAAAGCAGTTGTTTTGCATATATACAGATATGTCCAAACATATTCATAAAGTTTAGTTTAGAACATTATGTACAGATGCTACAATTTTGAACAAAGAAACTTTTTAAAAAAATGAAACAATTGGTAAAACGTAGCAGGAAAAATGATATTTTATACCAAATTGGAGTACAGAAATGGAGGAAATTGCATCTGTGAGCCAAAACGTCCAAGGGAAGTATTGCTGTGTCTCGAGTATTACTGGCTGTGTCTGAAGTATTGCTGTGTCTCGAGTATTACTGGCTGTGTCTGAAGTATTGCTGTGTCTCGAGTATTACTGGCTGTGTCTGAAGTATTGCTGTGTCTCGAGTATTACTGGCTGTGTCTGAAGTATTGCTGTGTCTCGAGTATTACTGGTTGTGTCTGAAGTATTGCTGTGTCTCGAGTATTACTGACTGTGTCTGAAGTATTACTGTGTCTCTGAGTATTACTGGCTGTCTCTGTAGCATTGCTGTGTCTCTCGACATTGCTGACTGTGTCTGACGTATTGCTGTGTCTCGAGTATTGCTGAATCATATCTCGACGCATTATTGACTATATCTGAAGCATTGCTTATTATATCTTGGCATTGCTTGGCTGTGTTCGAAATATTGCTTTAGAATGTCTGAAGGTTATGTCATGTATACTGTATATGTACATTGGATAATTTCGCTGAAATATAATCTGCGGTCGAAGTATTGTGTGGAGGGCGGGTGTGTGGTCCTGCACGGACCCCATGTAACAAATCAGGCACTCTTAGGGATACATTCTACCAACCATAGCGATGTTTCTTGTTTCCTAGAAAATATCTTTATGGGACCAAGAAATGCCCCATGAAATGGGTTTAGGGTTTCCACTCTAATAATGTACACATAATTTCATGGCAAGCTCTCAATTTGGTTATATTCCATGAAAGTTTTTAATAAAATGAAAGAGTCAATTTTAAGATTTAGCATTTACCCTCCTAAGCCTAACAAATTACCTAATTTAAGTTCACCATCTGCATATTGTCCCATTTTGGGAGGCACTTTTGCAGTGTGCAAAAATGAAAGTTCATACACCTCATTCCCTGCTCAGCAAAATTCTTCTGATGCACCCAACACCCTATGCATATAGGGTTGAAAGCAAACGGGCTAAAGTGGAGGAGTCCTTTGGATGGGCAGGGACTGCGCTCTCACAGCTTGGACTGAGAGTTTCTTAGATTCCCAGTCCCGCCCTGACAACGAGGCAGCCATGGGATACGTGTCCCACCTGGGCAACCGGAGCCTTTGTTCAAAATAATTTTGTTCACCCGTTAGCGATGGGGATACCTTGGTGGGATGCAAGCCCAGCGACTATAACCTTCTAGCGCAGGTAGCTCTTGGGGCTATCCAAAGTAATAATGTATCGTGCCTTTGAGTTAGATACCCGGTGGTTTTGGCGCTATATAAATGGACATAATATTATTTATTGGCATCGCCGACTGGGGTCCTGAAATATTGGCGACAGGAGTGGAAGAGTCCGTCTGTTCACATACAGTATAATGAATTAAGTGTAATACAGTCAACATTGGCATTACGTTTCCAAACATTTCTGTTTATTGAGAAGATAAGCGAGATTACAGTGTTATTACATAACAACGGATTGAAACCAATACGCCAAAATGCAAAATACGGAATATAATTGAAGTTCACGTTATAATCATGGATGTTTTCTTGAATTTTTCGTTGAATTTCATCTTAGGCTTCAGCGTCAAAATCTTCCAGTTGGCGCGTCTCCGTACGTCCCGCCTGAATCGTGCTCATATCTTCATTTATATGTTTACGATTTATATCGCCATCAAGCGTTCGCCCGCAAAGACGATATGGTTTACTTCTACGATAATAATCTGTTTTAGAGCAATAAAATCGGGCTTCCAGATTTCCATTAAGTCCAACGTGACTTTGTCCTATGCTATGATTTCCGTCAATCGTAGAAGAAGATCAACAAGAATAAAAGTTACAACAATGATAAATCGAACAAAACAATCTGAAATTGATTACTTCTGGTGCGTTGTCGGAAAATAGTCCTTTATCGAATCCGGTTAAAGGACAGGTATGCAACATAACAAATATAAAAGCGATCATTGAAGAGTGCTGACCGGTTTCCACGGTACAATAGGAAAATAGTACACGCGTCAAGGAAATCAATAGAAACAAAATCGAATGCAAAAAAATTCCGCATAATGCTCTTCAGTTTCTGGAAGTTGACCTTTAATTACTACTGGATTAGCCCACCCTAAATCGTAATTGTAGGATATTCTACATTTTCGATTTGAGATCACCTTAAGGACATGTTTTCATTTAATTTCGTTCTAATTTGTTCATTTCCACCACATCTCCTGCGTGGTTAAGTGACAAATGTAATCCAAGTAACCGTCCGCGATTAAAATAGGGGCCTAAAATATCACTGGAACTGGGTAAAAGTGTGCGTGGATTCTCAGGAAGGGAAACTCCGGATTCCTTAGATCCTTAAAATAAAATGTCCGACATACATAGACTCGCATTATCTTTAATAGGAAAAAATGCGACTTCTAACTCAACACCTGATCAAAATTTCATATACGGAAATTTCGTTAATACGTGGATGAAATATAGCCACCAGTGAACTTATATGCAGGGATTACCGACACGAACCACTGGTCGCCACTTATGCTTTCTTTAAATATATATATTGATGTCAGCTTCTAAAGCCCTCTACAGGCGTCATTGAAAATTAATTGTCTCCCGTGGAAGGTGCTCTGGATAAACGAGTTCCGTTCAAGGGAGGTTTTCTGACTGTATTTTGAATCACCGATAACGATAGATCAGTCTTTGCCGAAACAGCATCCATTCGTAGTAAAGGCACTGTGAACTAATGAACACGACATAGTGATGGATTTCACTAAAAAATCCGAAGCGTCGGTGGAAAATTTCGGCCCGTTACAATGGGCACAAAATATATGCCTTTGTTTCTGTAAGGATTTACATATGCGTACCTTTTGGCATGCAAATAACAACTACATGTAAACAAACTGTGTTAAGACCAGACATTCCAGTAAGCTGGAAACAATCAGCCCGGTGACACGATTCTCGACTCTTCAATGATCTTATTAAACAATACAAACGATACATTAACAAGCGCAGCTTAGCATAGCAGGATACATGGAAAAGCACACTCAGAAAAATGGCTCACTCAAACTTGGGCATTCACCCAAGCCGTGCGGATTAAAGCGCGATTATCGGTCATTACCGGTGCCGTGGATAGTCCGGGGGCCGTCAGAGAGCACGTGCGGATGTGGGTCAGCGACCGAAATACGGCATCTACTAGGAATACACATCCAGTTGGCGACTAACTGGTTTCGTAAGATTCGCAAAGGGATCGGATCGGATTGCAGTCATGTCAATGTTCACACATGATACAGAACGTCCTAGGGTTAATTCAATAGGGTACTCTCCAGCATAGGCAATCGGGGAGCGGCATGGGATGAAAAGTGAATGAGTTTTGTTTTCAGCAAATATGCCAGCAATATCACGGTATGGGGAAACCAGGAGAGGGCAAGGCGGCAGATACGTCAAAACGTAATCCTAATCTGTCACCTGTTTTACAAAGACATCCTAAAGTTATGGTAATCCGTAAGTCTGTTGCAGTAAACTACTGGGGTATCGCTAATGATTACACTTGTTTCCCACAGAGATTATAACACTATAATTGCCATAAGTCTATGTTAGAACATCAGCAGTTACAATCATCTTCGCACTAGAACCGCCTTCCTTGTGAACACCCTGGGCGAAAATAACATCGTGGAGCTTTGACTTGATATATATTGCTGAACAAATATTTCAAATGTTAATCAACTGGCTTCATCCATAAACGTTTATTGACGTGTAGTTCTTTGTATTGCCGGAAACATTGCTTTCCGGATAAGTGGAATGTTTTACACAATTCAATTCATTCACAAACTGGTTAATACGCTTTAAATTGTGTGATTTTTTGTTATATAGCCCTGTTTTCTGTCAAAAGTACATAATATCGACCTTTTATCACAAACACATGTCCTCCATATTTGCGTAAGTTACATATTTTGTCAGATGAAAGGAAAAAAACATAGCATTTTTATGTTGCTCTAAACAAGTGAGGTGAGGAGTTTGGCTCTTTTTACGCTTCGTTTTTAGCAATATTCCAGCGATGCCAGCGAGGCGACACACACCAGAAATGAGCTTCCCACATCGTACCGCTAATATGGGGAATTCGAACCCGGGCTTCGGCGTGACGAGCGGGACCGCTTCAACTAATAGGCCTCCCCACCGTCCCCTGTCGAAACAAAACATTGTATAACACATAAGAAACCATAATCTTTAAAATTTTAGTGAATCATAGGATGACCGGTTGGTTCCATTGATCAGCGCCTGATATCTCTAGCGTGTTGGTTCCTGTTTCCGCGCCATCATCACATTACGCATCTAGGGGATGCTGCCACGACCTCGACTATGTTATGAAGCCAAAGGCAAATAAGCCACAGGCTCCAGGAACAACAGCGCTGGTAACCGCAAGTGAACTCTTTACCTTGCATCTCTGCCGCCAGCAACAACTGCGCAAGAATACACCTTCTCGCATCGGAACCTCTTTGGTGCGGCGTTTGATCCCATTGAGACGGCGGTCGCAACATACATTTTCGGCAGACACACTCGGCTTGGTGGTAGGATATGCCTGGGGCAGGCGTGTTTCGTCCATCGTCCAGCTTGAAGTAGGCAGGGCAGAGGTTCCATTTCCTTCAGGAAGTTCCGTCTCACTTCGCAAGCTGGGTCTTTCTTCTACATCCACAGTGTTGCCTCCCTGTTCCATTATATATTGGTATGTTCTTTGCGAATGCAGATCGATAAGCGCGGGTCGGTTGTGTACACTCCAGCAAGTTGGATGATATCAACCGTGTTGGGGCTGGTGCTGTTAAAAGCTGTTGGTGCTGCATCCCGCTGAGATCCACAGGGAGCAGTTTTTCTCAACAAGCAGTCCAAACGAGTTCATGCCTCCTTTAAAGGGGAAGAGAGAACGGTGATGAATGAGTTGCTTTTTACCACACCTCTTGAACAATGATATAGTTTAAATCATGGCGATGTCAATTGCTTAGGGAAGATGGCCCGTTGAGCCGTGACATCTTCACTCGTGCTGGCGGATCTACCAAAGATACTCGTATGATGACAAAACAACTATTCACATCGGCACCAGGTCGATTCTTGGAGTCAACTCCACAATCAGCCTAAAGCTGTGATGCCCGTTGACCTTCGGAATTGGTCTTCATTCATCGCTTCATGCTTAGTCAAGTAAGAGACGACTATCGGTATCTACACCCTGGTCTTGATATGAGTTACAATCGCATCCCAACTGCATGGTGAGATCAATGCCTCATGATGCTGATGACTGGATTGGTTCGTCCAGAATCAACAGTCATATAAGATCGCCACCGTATGGGCTGAATAATATTTCTTGAGTGGTGCAAGTTGAACAACAACCATCTCCTTGCTGAAGCAAATCGCATTTTATATCCGGAAGTCCAAGCCAGTTTTACAGAAAGATTTCATACACTGCGAATGGTCATAGCCTTCAACGGAAGGTTAAACAACAAGCAACCTGAAGCTAAAAGTGCGACATGCAGCAGGTAATAGTGGTGTTTTGTATGAGGCCAGTGTTACACGCGGCAATAAACGAAGATGAAAACTGACTCGCAGTGGCAACGGAAGGTTCATTGTCTCACAGTCGACAGTATCGAGACTTTTTATTTCTTTTAATGAATAATATTATGGTTCAAAAGGGCATTAAGACAACCTCACTGTGACTCTGAGTTTTGAAACCCGATTTTGAATGGCATGATACCCGTGGAATCAAGTAATTCTTTCCAAAACTCGATTGATTTTGGTGTTGCATTAAAAATTCATCGAATAATATTTTTAGACTCTAAAACAACTGGTAGGAAATGTCCAGTAACGCTACATGTTATTTGATATCATCTTATTTCCTCTTCTCAAGAGATTTGATTACATATTCAACTGATAATCAAAGACGATATGTGATCCTTTTATGGATTAGTACAAAATGATTGTGTCGAAATCCGAAAAGGAGAAGTAATTCCAAAAATGGGCTCTTGCCACATTGTACCAAATGTGAAATCGAACCCAGGTCTGCATGCGTGACGAGCGGGCGCTTAACCATTAGGCTGCCCCACCGCCCCCAGTGTAAGCAGGCATACATGAACTAACTTAGTGTGTCGGATCACCCGATCACGTTTGTCGTTCCTGCAGCGTTGAACATCAGTTCTAACCCGGATCTGCATCGCTGGATAAGCATGGGTAGCTGACAGCCAATTGCAGTCCTCTGACTTCAGCTATTCTCGAAACGTTCGTAGCCCCTATTATTGAACTTCCTATCTACCCATTCTTAACACATACATTAATGATGAAAGCTAAGAATTTAAGGGCTAAGAACGTTTCTGAGAATAAGGGCGCTGTAGTGACAAAGGAATTCTACTTTCTAATAAATACATTGCACTAAAAAGCGTATGACATACCTTGCATTTGTGTCAATGCTGGCATTTGACATGAACTGATTTATGCAATTTTAGCTGATATATATAAGATAGCACCGACGGGCAAAAACACTTCCTGGTTTTCCCGTGGCTAATTTTGTAATTCCTTTTTCCCCTCAACGTCGACGCGAGTGGGCGAAAGGAGGTAGTCTTTATTATGGTATTATTGCGAATATTCTATATTGGTACTTAACCGTTTTAATTAACAATGGAAGCATCGGGATTAGATGAATCAACTCCATTGCGCAAGTGGAACAGAAACTCTAGTTTCAGGGTCTAAAAGTAATTATCATTGCATGTACCCTCGACGGCATCTTTCACTTGTTCTCGTGGACTAGCACATCATACAACACAATGTGATAGCACCTGTCAATCTTCAATAAATGTTGCACTGTATTACACTCCTTTGTGCCTCCGTTCAATTAGATATCTATCTAAATGTGCGTCCTTCATGACGACTCCGGAGAGAGAGAGAGGGGGTTGGGGTGGGGTAGGAGAGAAGGGAGGGGGTTAGAGAGAGGAGAGAGATTGGAGAGAGGAATTGGGGAGGGGTTAGAGAGAAAGGAGGGGGTTAGAGAGAGGGGTTAGAGAGGGGAGGGGTTAGAGAGAGAGGTAGGTAGAGGTGACAGTAACAACCCTACCTCTGGATTTAGAACCGTGTATATCAAGACCAAGATGGCTCGTGCAAAAGTCAGGTTTTTTTCGTCTCCTGGGTGATATCTGTTTGTCTTGTGTTGATCTCTAAGTGCAGGTGGTCCGATTAGGTCTCTGTGTAGATATCAAGGTGTAAATGGTATTCTTTAGGTCTATAGTAGGTCTTCTGTTCACCTCTAGGGCAGATGGTCTGTATTAGGGTCTTGTAGTTCATCCTCGAGGCAGATGGTCTGTGTTAGGTCTTGTGTTGATCTCTAGGTGTAGATGGTCTGGGCACACAATAGGGAAGTCACACACACCAGCAGGTCTTGTGTGTATCTCTTTGGGGCAGATGGTCTGTATTAGCCTCTTGTGCACATATCTGGGTGTGTAGACAGTCTGTATTAGGGTCTTTGTTCATCAGTGGTGCAGATGGTCTGTATTAGGTCTTGTGTTCATCTTTTAGGGCAGATGGTCTGTATTAGGTCTTGTGTTCATCATTAGGGGCAGATGGTCTGTATTAGGTCTTGCATATAATCCAGGCGTAGATGGTCTGTAGTAGGTCTTTTGTTCATCACTAGTGCAGATGGTCTGTATTAGGTCTTGTGTTCATCTTTAGGGCAGATGGTCTGTATTAGGTCTCTTGCATAACTAGGCGTAGGGTCGTCTGTATTAGGTCTTGTGTACATCTCTTTGGGGCAGATGGTCTGTATTAGGTCTTGTGCACATATCTGGGGTGTAGATCGTCTGTATTAGGGTCTTGCATAACTAGGTGCAGATGGTCTGTATTAGGTCTTTGTTCATCACTAGGTGCAGATGGTCTGTAGTAGGTCTCTTTGTTTCATCACTAGATGCAGATGGTCTGTATTAGGTCTTGTGTTCATCTTTAGGGCAGATGGTCTGTATGAGGTCTTGCATAATCTAGGCGTAGATCGTCTGTATTAGGGTCCTGTGTACATCTCTTGGGGAAAGATGGTCTGTATTAGGTCTTGCATAACTAGGCGTAGATGGTCTGTATTAGGTCTTTTGTTCATCACTAGGTGCAGATGGTCTGTATTAGGTCTTGTGTTCATCTCTTTAGGGCAGATGGTCTGTATTAGGTCTTGCATAACTAGGCGTAGGTCGTCTGTATTAGGTCTTGTGTACATCTCTTTGGGGCAGATGGTCTGTATTAGGTCTTGTGCACATATCTGGGTGTAGATCGTCTGTATTAGGTCTTGCATAACTAGGTGCAGATGGTCTGTATTAGGGTCTTTGTTCATCACTAGGTGCAGATGGTCTGTATTAGGTCTTTGTTCATCACTAGATGCAGATGGTCTGTATTAGGTCTTGTGTTCATCTTTAGGGGCAGATGGTCTGTATGAGGTCTTGCATAACTAGGCGTAGATCGTCTGTATTAGGTCCTGTGTACATCTCTTGGGGAAGATGGTCTGCATTAGGTCCTGTGTTCATATCAAAGTGTTGATCGTCTTTATTGGGTCTAATGTGCACCCTAAGGGGCAGATGGTCTGTATTAGGTCTTGTGCTAATATCTCGGTGTAGATGGTCTGTATTAGGTCTTGTGTTCTTATCAAAGTGTTGATCGTTTTATTGGGTCTTATGTAAACCTCAAGGGCAGATGGCCTGTAGTAGGTCTTGTGTTGATCTCCAGGTGTAGATGGTCTGGATTAGGTATAGTGGTTTATGTCTAGGTGTAGATGGTCGGTAGTGAGTTCTGGGTTTATATCCAGGTGTAGATGGTCGGTAGTGAGTATTGTGTTTATATCCAGGTGTAGATGGTCGGTAGTGAGTATTGTGTTTATATCCAGGTGTAGATGGTCGGTAGTGAGTATTGTGTTTATATCTAGGTGTAGATGGTCGGTAGTGAGTATTGTGTTTATATCCAGGTGTAGATGGTCGGTAGTGAGTATTGTGTTTATATCCAGGTGTAGATGGTCGGTAGTGAGTATTGTGTTTATATCTAGGTGTAGATGGTCGGTAGTGTGTAATGTGTTTATATCT